AATTTAATTCCCCCCCCTGTACACAGTAGTGATAGTCATCAGAGGTCTGAATTTAGATGTATTACTTTAAACATCTTCAAGGAATCTTAATTTCAGAGAAGTACAGAGTCCATATGCTCTAGAAGTCTAGTACCTTTCAGATGAACACCTACATTTTTTAGGAATTTTTTACAATCTTGTTCCACCTCAGTCTGACAGACCCCTTACATTGATCAGCCAGTGTTTGGAAAAGACCAGCATCACCTCTGCATCTCTCTCTGTCAAAAATCCCGCTCAAAATATGCATTCAGTGAGACATCTTTAGTCCTTGTTGGTTTGACTATGACCTATGTCCTCCCACTTGGCTTGTTTATCTACCCGTTCCGAACAGCGTCCCCTGCTAGAAGATGCTGCCATTGCAGAATGTATTTTCTCTGTTCTGACAGCATGTCCTCGTGATAACTTTTTTCCTCCCCTGCATCTTAGTAATTTTTTGCCCATAAGTCATGCAAAAGACCTGAAAATTCATTTCTTTCATATGTTAGTAACCCTGGTTATTTGTGTTGCCCTGTTCTCCATCAAGGTGTTTTGTGTTCTCTAGCTGAAGGCTGCGAAATTGGAGGAGACATTGGATGAGCTAAACGAGGAGTTTTTTGAACTGACGGTACAGGCTTTGAGAAGCCAGGAAGAAGGGGAATTGTTGGAGCAAGTGCTCAGAACACAGGAGGAGTCGACTGTGGTGAGTCATGTTTCATTGTGATGTCTTTAACTAGCCCTAGAGAGGTGACCACAGAAGCTCGTCTTTATGTAGGCGCGTGCTGTTGTGATTCAACTTTCCTGCGTTGTAGAGGTGAAAGTAGGTGAAAAGGGCACACCATGAAACAGTTGCTTAAGCTAATAAGTTTTATTCGGTTCTGAAGCCTCATTAGTTGCAACACTTTCAGTTCAATTTATTAGATAATGGAAGAAACCTCTCTTTTCCTCCAGCATAAAGATTTTTGTCACACAGTTGGTTCTGTCAGGCAACATCCTGTTACATAAAGTTCTCTTGCAAGATAAATGGCATCGTACCTCAGTCCTCAGGTTTTCTGTGTCCTTATGGTGTAAGTAGCAAGTGGAGCTCAGCTGATGCATGTGTGTTCAGGCAAATGAGATCTCCGCTAAACGGCAGCGAGAAGAAGCCGCCTCAAGTTAAATGCTGTGCTTCTTACCAAGAATCTGAGAGTTAGGACTCCTTCGTCCTCTTCTTGTTTCCATGGGTGATATCAGATAAGTCATGAAATTTCTTTGTCTGTTAGCTTCTCCATTTATTTTTAAAAAGCCAGCATGTAACCTACTGTGAAACATAAGTTCGTTAAGAATCACAAAGAGCATCACAGCCTATCCTTATGCTATACGGTAATGGGCAGGTGTGCTGAGAATTCAGGTTATAGAGGAGCAGGGTATTGAGTGAAATTAGTTTTCTGCAGGAGACAGTGGGGAACAGTCATTCAGCTATGACTGCTTTTCTTTCTCGTGCCTCCTTCATTCTCTCTTGAGCAGGCACTTGCACAAACACGGGATTTTTGTTTCCTACAGTCTCACTTGTTAGAGCTTTTTGGTTCATCACAAAAGGTTTCTGGGCAAAATAGATACAGCCAAGGCCTGTGATCATAAGGAGCAATATATTGGCAAGAGAGCGAGAAGCCAGGTTCCTTTCATGTATTCAAGTTTATGCCAGTAAATAAACAAAGTTAACATAAGCTGGATGTCTTCTGAACCGAGTGTTTTCTTCAAGGTCGGGCTGAAACGTCACTGCGTGACGCTCAGGTTTCAAAATGATTAAAAGCGTGTTTCTCGTGTAATTATTGGTGGATTGTTTGTGTTATTCTGAACTTCAGATATAGTGGGCTTTGCAAAGGCCTGAACGTGCTATCGGTAGGTAGATATGCACCCTGCCACGTGGTCTAGGATCACTGAGTCAGTGTACAGTGCTGGCAGCGTAGCCTATCCTGTGTTCTGCCCGTTGGAGTAGGCTGCCTCAGTGGTGGCATAGCTGTCCAGATCTGAATTTGCACTGTGCTTTTGTTTTCAATTTCTGTAATAGACAGCAAGCATCGACCACGTGTACGAAGCTCAGTGCTTTCCAGAGCTGCTGGATTCTTGGGCCACAAAGAGGGATGAAGCCCTGTTGCTGGAAATACAGAGGAGCTGCATTGCTCAGAGGATTGAAGAGGCAGAAGCAGAACTGTTTTATCTTCTGCAAAATAAAATAGCTGCCAGCTCACTTCATTGAGGAACCTAGCTTACCCTCGGCACTGACTAAAAATTGATGGATTGCAGGAGAGTGCGTGTGTCCACGGACAGAGTTGCGTTACGTGAAGTATCAGAATAGGTATGTGTGTAGTTAGAGACATTCTTGGTCAAATATATAATGATGAATCCATATTCTGTTTGTTCAGCGGGGCTGAAATACATTTGTACTTGCCATGGGTCATCGATATTATGTAGGCTTGAGCGAGAAGCTCATATCCATAACATTGCTTACTAATTTTATATTTATCACCGTTAAGTCAGTAAAGCAGAAAACACGTGAAGCCGAAGGTGGTCAAGAGCCCTGCTTGTCAGCTTCATGTGTTCTGCATATGCTTTATGACTTCTGATGTCAAGGATATTTGAGAGGGGCGGATGTTGTTTAGAGCCATACGTCAGAGCCTCGTCCAGCATCTCTACGTTGCCTCTATGTTTTTGCTATGCTTGCATTGATCTCAGGAAGGTCTCCTGCTAGCAGAGACCTTCAACTTCTGTGAGGGTGTGACTTTTCAACACAGAGCATGCTTCAACCATTCCCTGTAGTGATGACTGCACAGATCAGTTTAGCTCCCAGTGTCCAGTGCTCTGGTGGGAGCTGGATCTTTAAATTGAAGATACAGTCTTACTGTTGCTATTTTTTTTTTTTTTGTCCTGTCTGCCTGATGCTAAGAGAGTCCGGCTGTGAAGTGAGCTTAGCTTCTGTTGCACAGAAGTCGCATCGGAACGTGCGCTCCATCTCTTTCTGTGCGGTATTCCTTAGCTCCAGATAAGTACAGCAATATAAAATTTGTTGATGGTGAGCCAGCACAATACCTTGGCAAGCTGCACAGGTAGGCTTCTACCAGTGGTTTCCAACAGCAAAACCAATGCTCTTTTCATTACAATATTTACTCGATCGCTTACGCGTGAAGAGGTTTGTGAACCCACTCCTTCCTGGTTCCTAAACACAAATCTGTGTTTTCCCCTGCCTTTGAGTGACCATGGGCAATATTAGCAGGGAGAGACTTCAGTACCTGGCAGCCAAGACAGAATCTCAGTTTGGCTTCCACTAACTGTTGTCTCTGGTGGATCCATAGGAATTGCAAGGTCTGTTGCCGTCATCTACTCGGTTTGGCAGTTCCACCTTTTCTGAGTTTGCTCCCAGAAAACAAGAAGGTTTCTTCCGGTTCCTTTGCAATTCCACCTCGGGAGAATTCAGTTACTTAATGGCACTTGGAAGGAACTTTCCTAAAAGGACACTAAAAGCTACAGGCAAACACTATGAAGTGCTTGGAGGTCACCCTCTGTGATTGCCTTTTCTAGAATACAGTAACGAAAAAGCTGTCACCGCTCTCCTCCTTGCTTGCGTTTTTAGGTTTTCAGCAGATATATTTGTAACAGTAAGCGATCTGTCAGTCTTGATTGATTGCAGTCTCTCTAATTCCCACAGGGAACAGTGGTACCCAGACAGGTGATGAAGTTAACTCTGAGTGCTGTGTGGTGTGATTCTAGGTTACATTTGTAAAAGGCGGAGTGGAAAACAAGAATAAATAAAATTTGTCAAAATGTTTCCTTGTAACAGTTTTCTAGTGAAAAGAATTGTTTGTTTTAGATCAAAACAAAGGTAAGCATATCCGATTTTGTTCAAAGTTCTCTTTTTTTTTTTCCCCCCCCAGCCGTAGATTTCTTAGCAAATACACTTCTGAAACCCAAACCTGTTTACTTATAACTGAAGTCTTTTTTCCACAAAACCAAAGAATATCAATTGAAAAGACCAGAGTTCCACACAGCGTTTCTTCTCATGCAGTTAGTAGTTCCTGGAAAAGGGAAGAACAAATAAAAAGAGGAGTGATGCAACCGTCTTTTTTGTTCTACTTCTGAAGGTTTTGTTGTCGGTAGTTCTTTTTCTAGTGGTCTCTGGAATCTCCTGGAAGTGTCTAGAGTAGCTGTGAAGTCCCCTCACATTTGGAAGTCTGCCATTTCCCAGAGACTGCTGCTAAGAATGATCGAGTCCAGGGTCACTTAATTTCAAGTTGAGAGAAGGGTTTCCAGGGCTTTTGGTTTTACTTCAGTTGGTTTGACTTCTGCCTCTCTTAACAGAAAATGAAAAGGCTCTTTTCAACGTTCACTGTAAAGTTCAGCTTCTCTTGGAGAGCATTACACACTGCTGTGGCTGTGAGAATGAAGGTATGGTGACTTCCCTGGAAAGGAACCTGCTCAGTTTATGGCTGTGTATGGCTCTGAATTCTGAAATTGCGCCTGTTGAAGCTGAGTGGTTTCTACTAGTTTTGTCTTCCAGTGTGAAGCTGTCCTCAAGCTGCCCAAAGTATTAACAACGTCAGACAGCGTTCCTAACGGTGTTTGTTGTAATGACCGAGGCCCCCTGGACTCTGTTTGTTATCTAGTTAACCCTTGCTTGTCGCGCGCATAGCCCCGTAAACATCTAGGTTCCACGATCTCGGATGCCGTTGGTCTTGGTTTGACTTCTCATGCGAAGAAAGTGTTCAATGAGGATTTCGTCAGTATGTCAGCTCACGTGAGGCATGCTAACGACCCAGATCTGCTGGCTGGTTCTTTGCAGATTTTTCGCAAAGACTCAACGCTCGAATACCCCATCTGGTCAGTTGAACCTTTTAAATTAATGCCTGTCAACTTAACCATATTGGCTATCTCTCTGATTGCTCTTAGACCATAGCAAATGCAGTGTATTATGACCTAAATAATCCCACAGCAAAAGAAGATTTTTACTGAGTTGTGCGACCTATTTTTTTCCATGACTAAAAGCGTACACGCTGATGCAACTTGACTGACTGTCAGAGTGAGAGGCGGATGTTTGTTTTGAGATGGTCCTGAATCCTAGTCCTCAACTAAAATACCCCCAGGCTCTGGGCTGTTTTGAGATGTGGATTACATTTGCATAGCTGAGAGCTCTCTTGAGTTTAATTGCCGTAGTTTCTGCTAAGGACCTGTCCTTCAGCCCTCACCCGGACTTCTGTGTGTTGCAGGTGGAATCGAATTGGCACATGAGAGTGGCCAGAAGAATTTGCTCCAGAACCACTATGGATCAGAGCTGCTGAGTGAGTGAGTGTTTTGTGTGCTACTCAAAGTCCCATACATGTAAATTTGCTAATCGCAGTACTGGAGAGACTATTATTTTCCTCTGCAGATGAAGAAACACCCACAGACAGAGATGAAGGTTGACATTTAAAAAGGATTTTCATTTTGGATTTTCCGCTTGGAACCTCTGAGCATCCCTAACTCCACTCGGAAGACAGTAGAACCTAAAGGTGTTCAACACTTATCAAAGACAAAGGTAAGTTATCAGAAATTGGACATCTGAAGTTGAAGTTTGCTTTTCAAAATGGTCTAATGGAAGCCGGGATTGCTCCCATGTGTTATATGGATTTCCCAGTAGTCAGTCCCAGATCTGACCTCCAGAAAAAGTTCTTTCAAAAGTTTCTGGTTTAATGTAGTGCTTTTATCCTTCACAGCACGTGAAGGTTCCCAAGAAGCTGTATTTACCCCGCTGCTGAAAGATCACAGCATTGTCACTCCAGAATTCCTAGGTAGGTAGCTTTTCCGAGTTAGAAGTTTCTGTAACCTCTTTTTCAAACCTGGATTGTGGCTCTTGAGGAAAGAGAACGACGTCTCAGTTGTGTGCCTCAGGGAGGAAGGAGGAGTCCAAAGCAAAGAAGAAAGCTTTAATTTATAGTCAGAATAAGAAGTCTTCCTTTCCAGAACTGAAAAACCAAAACTTAACCAAAAAAAGAAAATGTTTCTGAGTATCCTTTTGTTTTGGGGTGAGGTCTTTTAGCTGCGGATCAGATAGTGTGCGCTAGGGAGGTACCAGGATTACGTTTCATCTTTTCTATCAGCCCCTCTTTTGCTTCACTCTGCAGCTAAATTGAGGAGGCGGGAATATGTGGAAGTATCTCCTACCTGATAGGCGCCACACAGGCAAGCGTGGGGACTCAGAATGGTGCAGCCCGTAGAAGGGGGGTTTGCTCTGGGGTGCTCCCCAAGAGTTT